ATATATAATATATTTGATTGATGCCTAAGGGAAAAGACCTTTAATAGAAATTATAGGTACTGTGATTAATTAGAGGTTATCTTTGGATAAACACACTAATTAACCTAACTTTAATTATAATTTCTCTTTTATATATTAATCCTTGATAGAGATTATACAATCTCGAGTCAACTAGCGGCTATCTTTGGACAAACACGCTAATTAACATCCCATTAAATATGACTTCTCTTTAAAATATTAACCCTTAATAGAAACATCCCATTAAATATGACTTCTCTTTAAAATATTAACCCTTAATAGAAATTATATAATTTGATCATTTAGAGGTTATCTTTGGACAAACACTCTAATGACCTAACTTTCATTATAATTTCTCTTTTAATTGTCATAACTATAAACACATGGTCCACCTTTGGGTGTCCTCCTAGTTTATAATCCATGACATCAGTTATTCAAATATATAATTTGAGATACTTTAATAAGGCATTCTTTTATATTTGAATAATGATACTTTCATCTAATTTAATTATCTATTCCATAAATTAAACTATGACACTTTAATGACTAACTAATTTCTTTACATAGATAATATAATTAATTAATGCGTAAAACGCATATGCTATAATTAATAGATCAATTCAAGGCCAAACTGTAATTTATATGCTATAACAGATTGCAATTCATAATCCCCTCTTAATATAATTTGAAAACGCGCTGAGCCTAAATGGCTGCTTGGCACGCTTCGGAAGCTTATTTGGCAATATTACATGCTTTGGCTTTTGGTTCGGATGCATTCCCTAATTGTTTAAAATAAAAATACATGCTTCGACTTTTAGTTCGGATACATTCTCTAATTGTTTAAAATAAAATACATTCCCTCATTAAATAGGATTCTAAGATGCCGTGTAAATCCTCAACTCCAAATTCTTATCGTATAAAGAACATTACATCTTAAGATTCTTATCTTGTCGTGTAAACCAAAATAAAAAAATTTAGCTTTATATATTATTTTATTTATATAATTAATGTAAACAATAACTTTTTTATATAGTTTAATTTAAAAAAAATACTATAATTTTACAAAAAAAATATATAGTCACTTGCATATTATATCTTTTCAATCTAACCATAAATAAATTATTTAAATATTTTTAGAATATCTATAAAAATACATTGAAATAGTTATAAAATATTATATGATATTTCTAATATATTTTAAAAGGTTGAAATAGTTATACAACAACATATGTGTATTTTCTATTATTTTATGTTTTATATTTTTTTTAAACAACCCGTGTAATACACGGGTGTCGTACTAGTAATTTATAAACGGATATGCTATATTTCTTTAACGGCAGTGAATCATCTTTGGCAAAGAATTCCCAAGTATTCATGCATATATAAGTGTCCAATAATTGCTAATCAAACATTATTTGGTCAAATAATTCCCAATACTCATGCATATCTTGATAAATAATCAAAGCAGTAATTGGGTGATCATTCAACCCAAATTATCAAATAATTTTCAATAATTCAAATAGTGGCCACATGCGGCAATTTAACACACGTTTACAAAACTGAGGCCATAATTCATGATACATCCATTAACTTAGGATATGTATAAACTGGACAATGGGAACGAAGACCATTAACTCATAATACATGTTGATCACATGCAACTCAATTATATATGGTCATCATAACAATTAATTCGCAAAGCCACAACAAAACTGCAAAAAACTTGAACGCAATCTAATCTTTATATGGCAAAATAATATGCATAAACACATGCTCTGATACTACATGTAAGAAATTTAACGGGCATATTCATAACTATCAGGCGGAATTGAATAAATCCTAAGCATGTAATTCTATCAGTTCACAGAATATGGATATTTGCATTAATTAAATTGCACATAGAACTTACAAGAATCTATCTTATAGTCCTTCCTTGTTTTCTTGATCTATGATGTTGATCTGCGATCATCTTCCTTGTAATCTCCAATGATGGATTTTTCTTTGCCTTTGAATTGCTTCTCTCTCTCCCCCGTCTCTCGTCTTTTCTCAAAGCCCTTGATGTTGACAACTTTATTTTCGTATGAGCCGAGAGAGAGAGAGGCATGTAGTAATATATATAGGAGAAGACATACAATCCTAATGATACTAACATTCCTCATGTTCTAACATAACTTACTGTCCAAGTCAAACATCACAAATTGGACTATTTAATATTAGAACATTAATAATCTATTAAATACATATTCACTTTAATTAAGTTTGACTATTAATTCAATTATGTCCAACTAATTATATGGTCCACAACAATAAAATAATATAAAATATTATTACATGGAGGTGAATTTGAGATCCGTGAGCGAAAGCTTGAAGGCCATTATCGACAGACTTCATTTCACGAACCAGACCGTGGCTCGATTTGAGCAATTGATGCTCGGCCCGGTTAAGAGGCGTGCAACGCGTAAGATTGTGACTTTGAAATTTGACTTGTGAGTTTAAAATGTGACTGGATTATCATGTAATATGTAAGCCCCGAACCAAATTTATATATTAGCTCGACTTTATTTTCCATAAATAGTAAGTTCATAATTATGTCGTATTTTATTATTATAAATCGCATAATTTATTAAGGCTTAAGTCTAAGCCATGGAGAAAACTTTCGAATTATTATTTTGAAAACGAGATAAAATTTTAAGTTTAAGTCTTGATTGATAATTTTAATCGAATATTAGTAAAGTCGGGAATTTATTAAATTCCCGAACGAACCCAAATTTTCGGGCCCATTTAAGTGGGCCATTTTTTTTATTCCGACCAACTGACCCGATTAATTAATCCTAGCCGAACATTTATTAATAAGCCCGATTAGTATAAGATTTACCGAGCCCAAATCTGAGTAATATTTCGAGCCCAAGTCGATTAAGTTATAGGCCCGATTTTTGAAGCCCAAAGCACATGAAACCCTAGTCTCACGTGTATAAATAGCATCCATCTTCCACCTACTATTCACCTTATCCATTCTTCATCTTCACCACCAAGCGCCATCCCCTCCAAACATTCACAAATCCGGCCACATCACTACTCCGGCCAGCCGACGCCGTCCGGCGTCTACCCTCCGGAGAGCCTTCCCGTCGCGCGTCCTTTACGCCGCCCACGTCGCCGTTCCATTTCCGGCGAAGTCGACGCCCAGCTCCTCCACGCACGGCGAGCTCAGCCCCAGCTTAACCATGTCCGTACGTCGTCCTCCCGAGCTCGCGCCGCCACCTTCCCAGCTCCGGCGACCTCCTTTAAGCTCCGGCGACCCCAGCTCCACTGTCCCAGCTCGCCATCGCAGTCCGGTCAAACCGCCGGTCGTCCAAGTCGGCGAAGTTCACCCAGCTCCCGACCCGAGTTCAACAGCAGGTCAAACTGCCACCGTCTCCATCCCACCGGCGAGCTCACCTTGCAGCTCCGGTCCCAGCAGGTCCAAGCACGCCGTCCGTTTTCCGGCAAGCCCGCACAGACCACGCCGGCAGCTTTCCGACCAACCGCGGCCTCCGACAGCGCCACCCGGTTCAGATCCTGGCCCCGATCTGCGGGTGTGGAGCCCGACCGAGCCGTCCACGAGGCCACACGCGACCCGAGCCGCACCCGATAAATCTCATAAATGTTGAATATCCTGTGGTAAAAATTTCATGATTTTTGGATGCCGTTTGATATGCATAAAAATTTGGGACTTTAGCCTCTTTTAGCGGTAATTCTAGAAATTAATCCGGTTGAGACTTAGCTGCACTTGTTGGGCCTAAGATCACTAGAAACATGCTGAATTTAGTGTTTAAGTTTCGGATTATAATAAGTTGCTGGTCGAGTAGATAACCCTAGTTTGGCCTTTTCTATGGACAAATTCTAGATCCGAATAGAAAAGTTGTGCGTCAACAAACCTGTGTCTGTGCGAATGTACCCGGACCACGATTGAACTGAGTTGCACCCAGTCAGACGAGCGAGCGACGGTCGGTTCCGATAGAGCTGCGTGTCCAGTTCAGTCGAATAAGTTTGAATAGACTGGACGATTCGGAAGTTTCAGTTCGGAACATCAATTTCAGCGTGAACCGGGATTTAGTATTTTTTCGAACCCAGACAGTTCAAATAAAATCAGTTAGCCAGTTCAGATAAAATCATATAGCCATAAATCAGATAGCCGGTTCAGTTAAAATTAGATAAGTCAGATAAGCTAGAACATATAAAATTAGATAAGTAGTCCAGACATAGACAATTTCAGAGAACTCTAGAAATGCCTCAAGACAATAATTTCCCAGAATAGGTCAAAAATCCTCTAATTCGAGATTAAATGATTTTAAAAAATGAGCGAGTGAACCTACTAAGATCAGATAATAATAATAATAATCAAGTTTTCAGTTTGAATTTAGTAATTAAAACATTTTTGCTCAAACCATTTTGTATCAAACCATTTTGTATCTTAAGGAGAGTCGAGCCATTCACCTAGTCACACTTGCCTAACAATATCAGCATAGATCAGGTGGGGGTTACAAGATCAAGATCAGGTGGGGGTCACATACTGTGTTTTACATCATCTTTAATTTCCGTACCATGTCCGAGGTATGTACGAGAAAAGTATATATCGCCTCGATGGATAAGATTCCTCCTTTAAGTGTGACTCCATCAGCTCGAAGAGCTCATCCCTAAGCTCCATTGCCCCTCGTGTGCTTCTCTCACCTCTCTCTTCTCCACCTCATAACATTTATTGATTTTGGCCATCACACCCTCTTGCTTAGCCTCCATTTCGCACAATTGTACAAACAAATGTTGCACGTGTACTCACACACGCTCAACTTGCACCCCGTCATCGTATTGTCACTCAAGGTAGATTCCACAATGTAGAAGCATGTCGGCAATCCCTCTGAGCCCACGTCCCGAACCCTGCATCTCATTTATCCCCCTGTCTATTCGACGACAACAACTGTCTATTCGACAACCGTCACATAGGAACGCTAGGCATAGGGCCAATAAAGTGCTAAGCCCCATGAGAAGTCACAACCAATCATCAGTAAAGTAATGTAGATGTACCTGTTGTCTGCAAATGAGAGGTTTGTACGCACGCTGACGGGCCAAGGCTTGTAGGTCCATGATCGGTGTGATGGGGTATGAAAATAAATCCACCTTCGCACATTACGGCAAAGATTGACGTCCCGCCCATTAACCAGTAAGAGACGATGCGAGAACTGCAGCTGTAGCATGATCCTGATATGGTGTTGTTTTTTGGTTGGATCTTCTAATAATAATAATAATAATAATAATAAAATAATAATAATAATAACAATAATAACAACTTATAAATGTCATGGCTTATACTAGCATCCATTTAGAAACTGAAAATGTGTAGTTTAAACAAGTAGTAGGAGTTGGGAAGTCAGGCTAACATTAATAGAAACTAAGGATATGTTGTGTTAATAAACATGAAGTAGTTCAAAGGAGACAAACTATCAGATGCAAACAAATCAAGATGTGAGAATTTCTACCAACTTCGATACAACGTCCTTACCCCAACTTCGTGTCTCCATATTGAATGGATGTCGTGTATGGTAATGTACCCATAGCCTTTGTCAACCCACCCACGTCCCCAACTGTTCAGGATTTCAAAAAGAAGACCTCCGTTACTGCCTCCCAAAACTTGTTAGGAGAGATGAATGCAGTATTTCACGATAGCAGGTCCAGTTCCACCTCTGTGCCAAAGATTTTATTTCCCCGCACATAAGAAAATCCTTCCCTCAGCCTAAAGGTCATCATTAGGGGTCCCCGATATATAACACGCTGAAGCGACATGGCAAATTGCGGCTTCCAGTAGTAAATCGCACTCCGTGAAAATAGGCATGATATATTCATGTCTTGTCCAAAATTCAGCACACCTGTCATGATCGGGGTTTTTTGTTCGGGGCTATAGTGTCGTTGGTAGGGAACCTCATTGTTCTATAAATACTCATCAACCGCATTTGTCCAAGCATATGAATCATTTGACAAATCTCTTGACAGTGTGTTGTAACGATCGAGCGTGAATGAATCAATAACATATGAGCCAGAGAGTGCGCCTACAGAATCACGCATTTCTGGGAGTTGTTTCATGCTAACCATCGCCTCCATGTACGCCAAAAACATACAATTATCCATGAACTCGCGTACATGGATGCGATGGTTATGATGAAACAACTCCGTGATTCTGTGTAGGCGCACTTTCTGCCTCGTATGTTATCAATTCCTTTACGCCCAATCGTTACAACATACTGTCAGTGTCAAATGATTCATATGCTTGGACAAATACGGTTGATGAGTATCTAGAAAACAATGGGTCCCCTACCAACGGTATTATGGCCCAGACAATGTAGAAAATCCAATCATGACAGATATGCTGAATTTTGGACAAGATAGGAATATATTATGCCTATTCTCACGAAAGTTCGCAACATGACAAGTGCGATTTACTACTGGGAACCGCAATTTGCCATGACGTTTTAGCGTGCCATATATCGGGGATCCCTAATGGTGACCTTTAGGCTGAGGGAAGAATTTTCTTATGCACGGGGAAATGAAATCTTTGGCACGGAGGTGGAACTGGACCTTGACGTCGTGAAATACTGCATTCATCTCTCTTAACAGGTTTTGGGAGACACTGGAGGTCTTTTTTTGAAATCCTGAACAGCTGGGGACGTGGGTGGGGTTGGGTACACTACCAAACACGACATCCATTCAGTATGGAGACACGAAGTTGGGGTAAGGATGCTGTATGGAAGTTGGTAGAAATTCTCACATCTTGATTTGTTTGCATCTGAGAGTTGATCTCCTTTGACCTACTTCCTGTTATTAAACACAATACATCCTTAGTTTCTATTAATGCTACCCTGACTACTTGTTTCAACTACACATTTTCAGTTTCTAAATGGATGCCAGTGAAAGCCATGACATTTATAAGTTATTATTATTATTTCATTTGAGGCTATGCAACGCGGCGGCAGATGGAGGTGAAGCACGACACAACGGTGACTAGACGGCTGACAGGCGACGCGAGTCACGCTACGACAGTTGAGGTGGCAACATAGGGCATTGCAGAGAGGATGTTGCGGCGGTGGTTGTAGCGGCGGGATGATGGCCGTTGATGTAGGAGATTTTGTTTTTTATTTTTTCCTATTAAAATTTGTTGGATTTGGGGGTGATTTTTTGAAAATTTGATATACTGAGGGTACTCGTATGTATTTTTTTTGACCTTTAACATATTTTACTTTAATAATTGGGTCATTTTTTCATAGTTTAGTGAAAATAAAAATAATGCACAATAATATTACATGAGATGCACAATATTGCCTATGAGATGCACATTAAAAAAATTACGTAATATTTTTTTTTTGTTACGAAATTATAGAACGCGTAATCGAGTCGAACTTTTGGGAAAAAAATCAAGCAGATTGAAAATTTTCCAAATCAAAAATAAATTGTACTGAAAGTCGGCATTAAATCGACATAACCAAATTTTTAAAAGTAAAATCAGGAAATTGATCCGACATATAACGATTTGAACTAAAAATTTAGATCGGTCTGTTTCAGACGCTATTGTTCCGTCCGTAAAACATTAATGTTCAAATTGTCTAACACCATTGGCACTTCTTCGGTCAATATCGTGCAATCTGAACAAACTGAAATTTTCTCCCAAAACAAATTTAAATTGTATCGAATTACTTAATTTATTTGGTTGGTTAATTTAATTACATTAAGTACTCAAAATGTAATTACTCAAAATATTTTATTATTTATATTGATATTGATATAGTTAGAATAGATTAATTTATTTGGTGGAGTTGAAATATTAAAAATGAAATCAAATTTTTTATTTTGATTAGTCCATTTGTTGTTGTGGAGCCCGTCATTAATGTGCATTCTCACATACAATAATGTGTATACGTTAATAATGTGCATTTCAAGTTACATTTTGTTTTCAAAATAATGTATTTAATAGAAAAATTAAAATATTTTACTGTATATTTGTTTGAAAAGGTATAATAAAACAAATACCGAAATTGATAAAGTGCACGCATACAAATACAAATGTGCATTTAGTATAACATTATTTGTGCAGTCAGCGTTTATTTCTTTACGTGCATTTTAATTGTAGAAAACTTTAATAATGTGTGTAATTAATACTAATGTGCATATATCACATTAATTATATAACAAAAATGTATTTAGTATTTATAAATTTATATGAGATTTTATATTACCGTGTGTTGACAAAAAGCAATATATATAGATCAAATTATTTTTACAATAAAAAAATATATTTATTATATACAATTTGTTATTTAATGTTTCATTAGTATTTGTTGAAAATAATAATACTATCAATAAATTAAATGTATATCAATAAATTAAATGTATATTAATACATATGAAAATGTTAAGCAATGTAACAAAATATTTTTTTTTTTCACTCGAGTCCGTGCACGAAATATATGTTATTGTGCAATCTCATAAACATTAATGTGCACTATATAAAACAGGCTGTGAGTGATGGCGTGTGTGACGGGGTGACATATTATTGATGGTGGATATTTGGGATATTACCACCCTACCTTTAATGAGTGTAAAAATTTGCATTTTTTTTAATCATTGGATCATATGATCTAATGGCTAAGGTTTATTCTTATTTCTTTCATTGAGGACCATTCTCACCGGAGTGCGACCCTATATCTTCTACTATATATATATGAAGAAGTGTATGGCTTTTAAATGTTGACAAGTGTCCATTCTAGACATGCTTAGAAGCTGACAAGTGTCTTTTAAATTGCGATTTTGCCATTGTCTTAGTATTTGTCTTTGGGCTCTTTTTGGCTGATTTTGGTTTACCTTTTTGCTCCTGATTCTCTGTGGGAATTTTGATTTTGGATTGTAGGGTAATTTAGCGTAATAAGAGGACATATAAGGCTAACAACAAGAGGCATTGTTAGCTTGACATGTGGCGTTTTTTCTGCACAAAATACCCCTGCTTTTGCCGTATATTTACATCATTGCCCTCTTGCTTTTTATTGGTTAGTGTAATTTTAGTGAACAGTTTTCTCCCACATTCTTACTTGAAAATCTGCAAAGCTCTGCGTACGGTTGTGCTTTCATCACGTAAAGGTTGATTTGATTTCCGTAAAATGGGGATGACTTTGCCGAAGTTGTGTTGGTTCGTACATGTCACTGTCTGTTTGTATTTCTTAATTCTTAAGGAGTTTCCTCCCAAACCCTACACAACTTTTCTTTATCCCGTTTTGGTTAGTCACCAAATCGCTTAAAACACCGATCTTCCTATAGACGTGCCGATCGTGAAGCTCGGCCCCGGCGGACAAGGAGGAGTCGCTGTTTTCAAGCTCCACCGAAATCATCAGAGACACACCGGTCGTGATGCTCGGCGGCGGCGAAGGAGCGGCGCACTTTTGGGGTTTTTTTCTTTCGGCAATTTCGCACCTACCAGAAACCGATCATGTTTCTTTCTTCTATCGGCGCTACCAAAGTCGTCTATGGGTATGCTATTGCCTAATAATCTCTTACAGTTTCGCTTATCGATTTTTAGTAACATTTTCTTTTAGCATTGATATGATTTTGCGTTCTATTTTTCATTTACTTTTTTTTCCTTTTAATTCATGGATTTAGATCGTTATTTTCCCGAGGTCGAGATCTAGGAGCGAGACACACGAATTCCTGCACTTTCGGCCGACGTCGGATTCCAAGTGAGAGGATGGAGAAGCTCTTTAGTCAACAAAAGCTAGGGTTGATAATCAAGGCTTCAAAAGAGGGAATTCCATTCGGATATTAAGCGAAAATGTCCTGCCATACATCTCTTAAGATCTCATCTTCCTCCCTACTGTGAGTTTTAGATTTAAATTTCCCAAATCCTGATGCCTTTTCCAATAGCTTTTATGTCTGTTTCCTATATATCGAGAAAATTGCAAATTTGGTCCCAAAACTTTTGTTGTTTTCCACATTTGGTCCCAAGCACGCCAATTATGGTTATTTTTGAATTTTCGTTGCCAAAATGGTCCCACTCCGTCAAGACTTAACGGTCAACGTTTATGGCTTGGGACCAAATGTGGGAAACAACAAAAGTTTTGGGACCAAATTTGCAATTTTCTCAAAGAGTAAGTGATAAAAATTATTTAAATTTATTTTTATTAGAAATATTTTTTTAAAAAGTTTTTAGTAAATGTTAAAAAGGTATATTACCATTATTTCCTAACAATACATTTAGTTTATTTTTTAATAAATTATAAAAGATAAATATAACTAATATACAATTCTTTCACATTTTTTTAACTTAAATTAAAGTTTAACTTGATTTTGTTACATAAAATGATTATTTAATTGGGTAACTTAACAAAAGGTGTATAAAATAATTTTATTAATTAGTTCATGATAAATGAGATGCAAAATATATATATATATATATATATATATATGATATATTTTACTATAAATTAGTGAGAGCAAATGTCTATTTTCACTTAATTTAATGCCAAATTTTATTTTATTATGCTTAAAATTTAAATATTTTATGTAAATGTAATTTGCATGAATAAATAGATTTTTCAATTTATAGTTGTCAAAATCAAATTGATAAATAAAAAATTATTAAAATAAAAATAGACAGTAATAAAAAAAATTGTTTAGATTGGGTTTTTTTTAATTCGTATTATTTAATAAAGTTTGTAAGGATATATATATAAATTATCACATTATACTAATATTTAAAAGTGTAGACGGATTAGTATTATTGTAAGCATACTCACATTTTTTCTTATTTTGATAAATTGAATTATGTCTTTTGGTTGGCTTTATTTAATTAAAATAATATAATTTCTAAATACTATTTAATTTAAATAATATTCAAATAATTGCTAATATTTTTTAAGTAATGACGGTAAAAATATTAAAAAATAAAATAAATACCACAGAATTAGCAATTATATCGTTTACTTTTCCACCCAAAATTAAAATTTATCAACGCCTTTACTTTTCCACCCGATATTTATTTTTATAAAATTATTTTTAATATTTATTTCTCATATTCATAATAAATTAATTTTATTATGTCATTTCGGCTTTGAGTGAATGAGAGAGACTTGAAAAACTTGAAGAACTCATTTTTTTTAAAAAAGAAAATTGCAAAATTGGTCCCAATATTGCAAAATTGGTCCAATCTAACGTCCTCACACGAGCTCCGTCAATATTGACGGACGTTTGACCATTTTGGCAACGAAAATTCAAAAAGGACCATAATTGACGTGCTTGGGACTAAATGTGGAAAACAGTAAAAGTTTTGGGACCAAATTTGCAATTTTCTCCCTATATATCCTTATGCATTCGTGTTTTTTCAATTTTCGCTTAATCGAGCTGATTTTTCTACTTCTTTTTTTTTTTTTTTNGGTCGTAAATGAATGTTTGGAAGCTTAATTTATTTTTTGTGGCTACTATTGTTACTATTTGTTAAGATTATTTGATATTCTTAAGTTTCAGTAGTTATGAACCCATTATCATTTTATTTATGGGATTGCACTGCATTTTGGATGGTAATTATTCAGCATGCAGATCCACTTGGGAATGGGCTAGGGAAAGTGGTTATCATTGAAGCTGCCGAGACCAACTGCATTGTGCCTGAAGTAGCTACGCCCATCAAATTACTTGGGCACTTGGGCTTAAGGTACATTCTTTTCTGTTTCTGGCCTTTTGTGAACAAGTTATGTGCATTCTGTTATCTGAAGGTTATTAAATTAACAGTAAGGAAAACAAAATATGATTCTTACTCTTCTAATTGTTAATTCTGACGTCTTGGTCACCTTAAGAGGATGACATGATTGGCATTAAGAAGAATAGAGAGAAATATCTTGAGAGTATGAAGACAATGAAACTGGATTTAGAGCATTTGGGGTCCTCGGAATTTGGTGAGGAGGTAAATTATGCTTCTGAGGAAATTGATTCAACTGGCAACGTAGAATTTGCTTTATATACGTACTTTTGCTTAATTCTTCATTTAGGAGTTTGTTTTGTGGATAAAATTTATTTTGCAACTTTACATAATGGAATTGGCTTGGGTTCTCCTTGTTTGCATTCTAGCTACATATATTTGGCACCAACTCAATCTGTTAAATTATCGTCAGTGTGTCCGATTTTATGTTTGTCATGCAAGATGAATTTGACTGGTGCGACTTATTTTTTGATGCTGCATATGATGTTTCTATGTTCACAGATCCTTATTTGAATACTGATGTTGGTACAATGTCTCCGTTTGAGCACGAGGAGTTTTTTGTTCTCGGTGATGGTGGAGAGGTGTTGTCATCCTTCTTTCTGTTGAGAATATATTTTGTACCATTAGGAATTAGCTATTATCTGAAACGATTTATTAACTTTTTAATAGGTGGATCTAGATTTAGGTAACTATGTGAGGTTTTTGGATGTGAGGCTAACAAGAGACAACAATATTACTACATGAAGATATATCAGGTACTTCACCATATTCCTATTGAACACATAATATTATATGTGCTTTAATTTCCGAGCTACTTATTTGGTGGTTTCTTTGTTAGTCTGTTCTTGAGAAGGAACGAAGATGGGATTAGCTTATAGAAAAGTGCCCTCCTTTGTAAGAACTACGGGGCATTTTTTTATTTTAGTTTTTTGTACTTTTGTTTATACTTTATACAGGTGGTCCCGCACATTACTGATGCTATTAAGAATTGGATTGAATTTGTGTCTGTAATTCTCGTGGATGGAAAGAATGTCTTGCAGATATTTGTGTTATTGAACTTGGAGTGACTGTAAGTTGTTCTTTGATTTTTGAATGAGAAGGTAAATGTTACTTCCGAGGGAATTGATTCAACTGTAAATGTAGAGGGAGACTATCTTTAAATCACAGAACAAGTGCCGGGGAACTTAGAAATGACTGGCCAATCACAAGAAAATGACAATGCGTTGAATGTGGATGATATGAGTAGTGAACAAAGCTGATCGGTTAGATCTTTGTCCAAGTCCAGTGTGGTTTGTGTGACTACTGACTTCGCCATGCAACATGTGCTTCTTCAGATTGGTTTACGACTCCTGGCTCCTGGTGGGATGCAGATTCGTGGCTCCACAGGTATTCATTGGTTGTCTCTAAATTCAATTGGCTAATGAATAATGAAGTTAAATAGGAATAGTAAGTCATGTACAAGATCTGTTAGAATTGATATCAAATTGTGTCACTAAAAAAACATGAAAAGGTTAAAGGAAAAAGAATGCAATAAAAGTAAACATATATGAACCAATACCATTTTTTTTAAAAAGGGACAGTGCCGACTTGAGGGGAGTGTCGTGGTTGCGTTTGGGCTTAATCATATCCTCCCCATATATAAAGTCGAAGTAGAACTGTGAACCAAAGCGGTAGAAGACGAGGAAGCAGCATCCTCTACTTCCTTTTGTTCATGTCTAAGGTTGTTTCAACCACTTTTAGAGTAAAAGTGGAGGAAGTAAATATGAACCTATACAAAATTACGATGCTCAGTTTGTCAACTAGATCAGTTAGTGTGTACTAGTGTGTATTGATACTTTTGTACCTGGATTACATAGTTGTGTGTTTATTATATCTTAAAGACAATTTATGATGGGAAAAGTGGTTGGTACAATCGAATCATGCTTTGTTCATTCTATCTTAACGAGTTAGTGAGTACGGGTTTTGGTAATGCTAATTTGTTCTATTGAAGTTTCTGAAATTCATTTGTCCAGGGATTGGGACAAATGAAGCAGTAAATTATTTCAATCGGAACGGATAAATATCATCTGCTGTTGGACAAGACTGCTTAGATTTTTTGCAACAAACACTATAATCTGCGAGGGTGGTACCGCCAAAGAGGCAGGTGAGGTTGGGGAGTTTTTATTTTATGTTGGTATTAAAAGTAAAAATCCGATTCTCTTAGTTATATTCGTTATTTCCATTTGTGGCAGGAAATGTTGTTTTGTGTTCATCTAAAGTTACACTATTATGGGGAGAAAATTTGCCTCTTCAGATGAAACTGATGGGTGATTTGATATCTTTGATACAGGGCAAAAGGATTCACATACCTCCCAGGGACATTATACAAAGAAATGTCAGAATAATATTATATATGCATGTTTTTGTGTGTGTTGTGTTTTGCTATTACAAAAAATAAGTAAGTTTGACATTGAATGTGAAATCAAAATTACCCTTTCAGATTCGTATAAAAAATATATAGGACTTTATTTTGTAGGAGGCTTTCCGTCCCATGTATAATACCTACTATGATACTTGGTAACATTCTTTTTTTATCATTTGATTTTGATAAGATGAAGTACTTGGATATCATTTCCATGTCACTGGCTGGCTGATGTTGGACAATTTTAGGCAACCTACAAAGGCTCTGATTCTGAGCCTAAAGATTTGCTTGAGCTGTATAAAAAATTGAAGGGCAACATGGAGAAGTATTTCTTGATGCAGTAGCACATCAATATAGAGAGAAATTAAGCCAGTGTACTAATTAAAGTATTTGCCTTTCAAAACAACGTATGTATATTTAACTTATGCCAAATTTTTACTTCATTGTCGACTAAACTCGGGCCGGCCGTGGAGAGCCCACTAGTATATATATATATATATATATATACTAGTTGGCTTCCGGCTATACACGCACAACCGGTTAAAATTTAGTTGATAATCAAGTTAAATTTATCGTCAATTAAACATACATTGTCAAACCAAGATCAATTTCTTATTTGTTTTTTATCATTAGATTTTAATTTTAAAACACGTCGACATAATTTAAAATAATCAGTTCAATTTATAATTTGTGTTTCTATTATTATTAAATTTAAGATGAATTAACAAAATTAGAAAAAACTATCTGAATAGGCTTGAAAATAATGCACAATCTAAATCAGTAACAACAAAGCATTCCATAATATAGAAAAACAAACTGACTACGCCAAAAATAAAAATATAAGGACTAAGAATCAAATCTTAAAAGAGGTTGATGGGTCGACATTTCATGTTTGAAAATACAATATTGAGTTGAAAATGAGGCTCGACGTAATAATCATACTAAAACAGTTCTAAAACAGTTCTACTGTTAAGATAATAAGAAGTGCATTCTAATTTCATCCAAGTATTTCCGTTGTTAATCATGTTATCGAAGTTGTCCAACCATGAAGATAAAAGAACAATCTCACATAAATTATGGAGAAACTACACGCATTCAGTTTAATGTTCTAATAATCACAATACTGTTTACAGACATCAACTGAATTGATTTCAATGGCTGGACAATACCAAAATAATGATCAACTGAATGGATTTAAAAGGTTGGACATTACCAAAGTAATTCAAAAACAGGCACAATATATTACATTACAAAGCATGACACAAAATACAATCAAAATCAATCTGAAGACAAATCCACAAACTACCGTCACATGCACCATGTTAACCTATCGTGGTCTAAATAATTACACATTACATTAACGAAACACCTAAAACTAGTAATAATATATCATAAAATGTTGCACCCAACAACACAGAAGAGTAAAGCATTAATTATTTATATCAATCTCGCTTCACCGTATTTTATAAGTATAATAAGAAGAATATAAACTATCAGTTTCTTCATGTTCTTCCCCATTTCCCCTCATTTTCCTAACCATCACCATTAACAATTTTCATCTTCTTTGCTTTCATCCTTCAATAGTTTTCCCTTCTATACTCAAACAATTCTTCAGATTTGACCTGTACAAATTCAACAATTCATTATTTAACAATAGGATCCAAGCAATCATTTTTTCTCAAACTGACCATGTCGAGTTTTTCAACTCACCATCTACCTTGATGTCCTCGACCCTTCTTTCGAGTTGTGGCTAAATGTGAGAATTTTGATTTTTTCAAAAGGAAAAAATTGGATAATATGTAATAAATAAACTTTTATTTGTGTTCAAAAATGGAGTATTGAACTTGACAAAACAAACCAAATGACCTGTTCGTACAAAAATACAACATCCTCTGAAAGCTGACCAAAAAGTTTAACACAATATAAATGCATAGATGGTGAGATGCTTGGTATTGGTAAGTTAATGTGCATTGCCCAATTTTGAGACTTGAAAACAAAATATTAAAAAATTAACAAAATAAACGTACATTAAAAATTAGAAGATTGCATCACTATATGCTCGAGTCAGATAACATTGTTATCCCACGACAACTTAAGCGCACATATCGTCAATATAGAAGTACCTGCACTAATTGATTTGGTACGCATTATTTTCATGGGGTTTCACTCTTCGTCATGGTTATGTTTCTGTGTCAATTGTGTTTTATGTAAGATACATAAAAAAAAATTAAGATACAATATATCTATATATATAGGACTGGTATTCACCTAATCACCTTAATGCGAGCTGAAAACTGAGTTTGCCACCCATCAAGAAAACCCAAAATTATTTGATTAGAAAAATGGGAAAGATTAAAGTACAGCGTGGTAAATATCGAATCTTTTAGCTTCATATCCATTTCCAGTGGCCATGTATCAATGCAAAATAATATGTGGAACACCCTTTTCCTCAACCAACAGTGAAATATAGTAATTCAAACAAGCATTTCATGTACAATAATCTTATTGTTCTGATTCTTAAAAGCTGAAACACTCAACATAAATCACCAAAGAACTATTGTTAATCAATAAAGGACTTGAAGCGAATATAAAATATATCTGATTCAACTTTAATCCAAGTTAAGTTAGAAACATTTCATTCTTGGACTGTATGGGAATAAGAGCATAGAAAGTATTTTTTTTTTTTTCTTCGTTAATGGAAACAATGCAGTAATATACCATCATACAACAGCAGTTGTCAATCACAACCTCATTTTATATCTGGTGCTTTTCTGCGACTCGCGACAACCCTTCAACATGAGATGAGAAATGAATAGCTGAAACAACAAAAACAAAAGAATAATTTTTGAATAATATTCAAACGAAAGACCTTCATTTGAGCTTCCATTTAACACTTTTATAAATAGTTAATAATGGTGGTGTACCATTTTTGAGCTAGAAAGAAGCTCGTGCTTTGATACCTTATTTTTAAAATGACTTGCATAAAAATTATTAGTAAGAGCCTAATTCTATTTTATCAATCTTCTTTGATATCAAAACATATTAAGCATTGGTGGGGACTTAAGTTGGGTGTGTTCCCTGTAGATGCTATGAGTAAAAATTAAATGTCATCTTATTATTATTTTGGTTGACCTAAAAATCCAAAGCATGTTCATAGGATAATAATAGACCCATATATTTTTGTTGACAAGTAGACCCAAAATCATAATCATATTTTCTAGCACATCATGTGACAAAGCCCTGGTGTCACGGCGCAATAACAACAAAAAACTTTCATACCTCTTCACACGGTTTGGGGAAGTTGATATGTCCATAAGACCTTGCAAATTGTGACCCTATATATATAGCTTATCAAAAGCTAATGTCAATATGTATATCCATAATGTTTTCCTTGTTCATTCTTCTTGATTCTCAATAATTGTTATTATTATTATTATTGTTGTTTATTATTATTCTACTATTTTATTTTTCTCCTTTCATAAAATAATGAATGGGAGAGTATTATGAATTGCTTGTTAATTCAGCCCGATCTGGCTCATTAAATTTCGTGCTTGGTTCAACTCGTTTCTCTTTTAGTTTAAAACTTGTAAACAAGATGTTTTTATGTAATTTTCTATCTCTCGACTCTTTAAAATTCCAGTTTGGCTCGTTAAGGTTCGAGTTCGATTTGTTAATATCGATAAGCGAGTCGAGCTCAAGTTCGTTCATCATCTCGTTTAGTTAAAGAATCAAGTTCGACTCGATAAAGGAGTCCAAGCTCGAGTATCAAGAGCTCAAGCTTGGCTTTTCTCGTTTAGTTTAAGGTTCGGAAATAGATTTTTATTTTTATTTTTTTTGTATAACTTTTTATAGTTTAGCTCATTAGGGCTCCATTCACTTCGTTAAGACTCGAGCTCGACTTGTTAAACTCATTAATTATTAATAAATCAGTACTCGAGTTCGAGCTCGTTCATCGACTCATTTAATTAACGATTCGAGCTTAGCTCGATAAAGACTTGAAACCCGAAAGTGAATATTAAGAGCTCGAGTTCGACTCGACTTGTTTACTCTACAGAGTAAGACATGAGTATTGTCAATTATTTAGAAATTGGGCCATAATTAGAGTTAAATGTGGCCAGCTTGGCAAAGGGGCCGTGGGCAACAAACAGTTCAATTATGAGGGATACATTTACTTCTCTTGTAATTAATTGGTTGCCAAATAAAGTAGTTGACCATACAAAAGTTGGTTTTTGCTTGCAAAATTGTGTGACTAATTTTGGCTTCATTGCCTTGGTCGGCCGGAAAATTTTGCGCCGCCGTTGAGATAATTGCAGTGCATGCGCATGAGTGTGTGCATAGTTGTAAATATAGTTGTGAGTAGTAAATGATTAAAAACCTAGTCGAAGGTTACATAATTCAAAAAGACGGTAAATTATCAGCCGAATTGAGCCGAATGTGTAATTGTTTGAGATTGTTTGAACTTAGCTGGATCTTTTTGACATTTCTTTTAAGTTTATGTTTGTAATAAATTGCGAAGTATAGAAATCGAACTATATATTAATCAGGGATTCTCTTAAAAATTTTTGAGAGACCGAGAA